AGAACACCCATCTTGGGCTTTCACTCGCTGCTGAAATTCCCTGAACTGCTCATAGTCAAAGGATCGCTGGGCATAGATTGTGCCAGTCTCTGAATTAATGGAGATGTATGAAGAGATGGGAAGGTCCTCAATGTTGCTGTGGAGGATGAAGTATGTGATCCGTGCATTCTGGCCCATGTCTGGATCTGTGGCTTTGATTGTGAAAATGGAGGCACCGGAGGGATTGTTTTCTGGCACATAAATGTTGTAGGTGGATTTCTCAAAAGCAGGGGCATTGTCATTGATATCGGAGATCTGGAGTGGAATTACTTTTTGTGTGGAAAGTGGAGGAGTACCTTTGTCAGTGGCTGTGATTGTAATATTATACCCAGGAGTCTTTTCTCTGTCCAAAGGTCTGTCTGTGAGGAGCTTGTAATAATTATTAGAAGAGAGAAGAATCTTGAAGGGCAAATCTTCTTGCAAATGGCATGTGGCCTCTCCATTTTCACCAGTATCTTTGTCATTGACATTGATCAGGGCAATCACTGTTCCAGACACAGCATCTTCAGGAAATGGACTAAAAATGGAGGCTAATGTCACCTCTGGTGCATTATCGTTTTCATCAAGAACAGTTACTTCGATATTGCAGTGTGTCGCTAATCCTCCACCATCTTTTGCTGCCACTGTCATAGTATACTGCTTGACTTCCTCAAAATCCAATTGCTCTCTAAGATAAATTATGCCATCAATGGGATCCAGACGGAATTTCTTCTGTCCGTTTACCGGTATGTTGCTGAATTCATATTTGATTTGGGCATTTGTACCATCATCTTTATCTGTGGCTATAACCTGCAGTACAATAGAACCAGCAGGAGTATTCTCCTGCAAGCTCACTTTGTAGACATCTTGAGTGAATATGGGCAGGTTGTCATTGGCATCAGTAACATTAATCCATACCTGAGCAGTACCAGACTTTCTAGGCTGTCCCCCGTCTATAGCTGTAACTAGCAAGTGAACAGTTTGTTCTTCTTCTCGATCGAGTGGTTTCTGAAGCAGCAGTTCCACATATTTATTTCCATCTTTCCTATCTCTAACATCTAACGTGAAGTACTGACTAGAGCTGAGCTGGTAATTTTGGAGAGAATTCATCCCAATGTCAGGATCATCAGCTTTCCCAAGGAGGAATCGAGTGCCTGGTGTAGCTGATTCACTTATTTCCAAACCTATATTGCCACTGGGGAACTGAGGTGCATTATCATTAATGTCCTGAATTTCCACTGTTAAATGGAAAATATTTAAGGGGTTTTCAATCACCACTTCAAAATTAACAAAGCAAAGGGAAGCTAAATCACACAGTTGCTCTCTATCCAGCCTCTCATTCACATAGAGGTTTCCATTCTCTGTATTTATAATGAAATACTGCATTTTAGCTGCAGAGATAGCATGCAGGTTTCGCTTTGCTAATTCTTTGACAGTCAACCCCAAATCTTTGGCAAGGTTCCCCACAATGGAACCTTTTGCCATTTCCTCAGGGATTGAGTATTGGATCTGCTCCGAGACAGCCCAGCAGGGAAAAGACAACAGTAAGAGAAGCTGTACTTGCCTTTTGAATCCTCTGCCATTCTCTTTCTGCTTTCTCTCCATCCAGTACTATAAGAAATTAGGCCTCCTTAAAATAACTGCTCAATCTCTCTTCAGGATGCAAGAAACTTTTGTATGAATAGATCCGATTTTCTTCCTAATTCATGTAGCCTGTGATGATTCCTTTTCTCTGTCCAGAAAGCCTGCTTTGTCTTTGTTTTCTGCTATTTTTCTGATCTGCCCAGCAAAGATTAAATGAATTCTATTTCAGAAGCATCAGTGGATCTCCTCTTTCCATGCCCTTCTTTGGCTTCAATTCTGGCTTAACAGTGACACCATGAGGTTACAACAGAGAACTGCAATGGATTCAGCTTCTGAGAGAATAGTTTAAGTTTGATCATGTTTTGGGTTTCCTTTGAGATAGTCTGTTTCATTACCTTTTTCAGGATTTTCACATGCATGTCAAGATGTTTTAATATAATCATACCTTTTTCAGGATTTTCACATGCATGTCAACATATAATCATGGGATATTACTCCTGTTATGTCTGGAAAGTACCAACAAAATGTACTAAGGTGAATGAATGAAGATGAAGGACTCCTAAAACAGAAATCTAGAATATTTCAGCCACATAAGTCTGAGCAGCCTTCAGCAAACTCCACATTCCCAGAGAACTCTCAGAAGAAAACACTGGAAAACCACTTCTGAGTATTTTGTACCTAGAATACCCTGGAAAGTGTCTCTGTAAGTTCAAAACCACTTGACAGCAAACAATAATTATTATAATGAGAATCCAAAGATTTAAATTGTTACAGTTGATTACACAAGGTAAAAATAAATGGTACAGGAAGTGCAGGAAAGAGAAGAATTGGCAAGCTGTAATTCCTTACAGGCTAGGTTGGTAGGAACATCTCATAAACCATATGACTGGGAGGGGAGGTGCTATGCAATACCATTAATTTCAGGGTTGTCATAGATCAGTGAGAAACCAGTTGTAGGGTACAGAATTCAAACAGATTGAGAAGGCCAGATAGTGGGCGGCTGGCTTCCTTAGGCCCTTTATGGCACCACAGCAGTGGGCAGTAGCTGGTATTTGCATGACCACACACACCAAACAGTGGCTTGACAGCATCTCTCTCTCTCTCTCTCTCTCTCTCTCTCTCTCTCCCCCATCTCTCACACACACACACACACACACACACACACACACACACGCACACGCACACGCACACGCACACACACACACACACACACTTAGTAAAAGAAGAATATTTTAGAAGATGAAAAGGCTATCTGAACAGGAAAGACACATACTGCAATTTCAAAAGGCTGACAGAGCAGCTACAAGGGAATATATATACCGTGTGGTGAACTCAGTCTGAGTTTCTTCATGGATTTTCCGGTACGAGAATGGTACAATTCTCATGGTCTTAACTCAATGATATTTGATTCCTAAAATTCTAGCAACAGTTTCAAGTAGTTTTCCTCTCTGTTCATTGAGAGAAAGACTGGTAAAAACATAGGGTATTGTGCCGCCAAATTGGTTTGTTGCCTGCTTTGTCCTGCCATTTTCTCCCTCTCCACATTTACCTTCTGCTGCCATCACTGCGGCAAATCTACACGGCCTTAAGAAACATTTCTTAACTGTTGACGTTGAGATCCTTGATTGTTTTGCAGCTAAGTTACTGCTGGTCCATATGCTTGGGCTTTGGCATATTTTTGTCCCTCTGCACAAAACATGTTCTCTACCCGCACATCTGGGCTGGCATCAACTTTGCATCCATGGGGCTTCTCAGAATGTCCTGCCTAGGTGTTATGTTATGTGGGATTTTAAGATTAACCTGTAAACTGTCCATCTCTTTAATCCTATGAACTGTGAACCAGAGATAAAAGATGAAATGCTGCTTCTCCTCTGGGGTGAGTAACAGCTCCTTGCTTCATCCATAGATGCTTAGGCATTACACAAATGTCTGTGATTTAATCCATATTTTGCACATATCTACAAAGACAAGGCACATGCCTGGTAGTTCACACAGCATTACCAATGATTGATGTTCCGTATCATTTATGTTCCTTGTAGAGAAATGTAAAAAGCATGCACATTCTCTTGTCCGTTCTTTGTTTCTTAATTTATGGATGTAATCCAGGCCATATATTAGAACATTGTAAGTGTGCAAGGATTCTACATGTGCATCAAATTTAAAAGTAGTCAACATTATGTTAACCCAAAGTCATTATGTTTTACTACATAAACTGAAGTTACTATACTAATTTACTATATGCTGAAGAAGTAGCAGTAAGGTGAGAAGAAGAAAGAAATTGCAAGGAGGGGGATGTGGAACTCTTGAAAACACCAGTCTTTGTCACAAGGAGAATTGAAAAACAAGAATGAAAATAAAGCTCAGGTTCCCTTAGTGGAACCTTTATTTTCACTACTGTTAGTGTCCCATAGGCACATACTTCTGTCGAAAGTACTTCTGCACCATCCTTCATTTCTAGCACCTTATGCTTGTGGAAGGTCCCTCTGCTTAATTTGGAAGATCGTACCATTCCCTCCCCACACCACAGCCTACCCCATTCAGCAGGATTTTGTGTCTTTCTGTATAGCATTTTCAGGGGACAAAAAGGGCGGCTACAGGAAGGAGAGGAAGGGATGTCCATTCCCAGAAGTCTACTCAACTGTCCCTTAATCTGAATACAATCCCTGGTGTTTTAGCACATGGTAACTATTTATTTCTCACATTGGCATTATGAAGGACAGAACAATACATCTTTTGATTGGACTGCTTGGAGAGAGATTCAACGTATGGCAGCAGATAAGGTTGTTACCAGATAGCTTGTGAGTGGGGCAAGGTTGCACACTGTCCTGAAATTCTGGAGTGACCTTGGGCCACAAGTCACCCCAGTTGTTATCATTTCCAGAGCTTTATGTGGTTGCTAGCCTTTGTGCCAAACAATCCCTTTATATAGTGTTCTACCTTGGAATGAATGAATGAATGAATGAATGAATGAATGAATGAATGAATGAATGAATGAATGAATGAATGAATGAATGAATGAATGAAGTGATTAGCAGTGCAGTTTCTGTGTTACGGCTTTTCACAATATTTATGGCTGTCATGTTCTACAATCTATTAAAGTGACTTTGCCCACAGCAAAAATGTGAGATTTTATAAATAATAAGTAGCAATACTGAGGGGGAAAGGATTGCCAATATTTAATCATATAGTAGTGATCAAGAAAAGATTAATTTCTTCTCAGAAACAGCAAAACGTTGGATCTCTACACTTCTGAAGATAAAATACATTTACTGTTTCATAATTTTGCACTATATGATTGTGGTCCCTTCTCATATCCATGAACAGCAAAACGTTGGATCTCTACACTTCTGAAGATAAAATACATTTACTGTTTCATAATTTTGCACCTACATATATGATTGTGGTCCCTTCTAATATCCTTTGTGAAGATATATCAATGAGTAGGGTGTGATTCACTACTAGCAGAAGCAGAAGTACTTGACTCCTAAAATTCTACAGGAACTTCTATTTTATTTACTAGATTTTCTTTGCATGTATTTATTCGTATGTGACCTACATAAATTCCCATTTAAAAAAAACATTTAAATTACTTTATGAGATGTGGATGCATGAGTGAAGATAAAGGGCCTCAGAAAGTGAATTTAGAAGTCAAATATATTGAATTACTTTATGAGATGTGGATGCATGAGTTAAGACAAAGGGCCTCAGAAATTGAATTTAGAAGTCAAATATATTGGCTATTTATATCCTTCCTTCCTTCCTTCCTTCCTTCCTTCCTTCCTTTCTCTGTCTGTCTGTCTGTCTGTCTGTCTCTGTCTGTCTGTCTGTCTGTCTGTCTGTCTGTCGTCTCTCTCCCAAAGGAGAGTTAAGGATATAGATTCAGCCACTTATTACAATACAGAGAAAAAGAGACAAAGATGCACAGACTCAGGTTGTGACAATATTGACAACTACTACAGGATCTGCTCTACTATTAGCACTATTGAATTCAGAGTATTTTTCAATGATCACATGATGCAAAGATCATTGCGAATCAGCTCGACCCTTTTTACTTCCATTTCAGAGTTTTTCTTCCTGACCCTGGTGGTTTCTACATTTTAAAAGCTGGAACGATTCAAATGATGTTTTCCCTATGTGATCGTCTACTTTGTTCTACAAAAGGACAGGAGGCATGACTTTGAAAGGTGTTATGGTGACGTATTAAGCTGGGATGTGATGTTTTGGGACAGAAGGAACATCCACCCTTGCAATCGAAAGGTGTTATGGTGACGTATTAAGCTGGATGTGATGTTTTGGGACGGAAGGAACATTCACCCTTGCATTTTTTCTCCCTGGTCACCCTGAAGGTTTTTTAATTTTTTAAAAAACACAAATTACCAAATTTAGCACGAAATCATCTCATCGTTGCTTTGATCACCTCTGCACAGAAAAAAGGAGCCCAGGATCACCAGGTGGGTGGTATCAAATGAAAAGGTGGGGCATGGCCTATGGTCACATATCCAATTGCAATAGACTGAGGGCCAATATGGCACCCAAACAATGCAGGTTCTTTGTATTGTCACCTAAACTGAATGCCACTGTGAAAAGACACTGTGAATCAGACCACAGTGTAGTCACTACCTAAATGTAGGCATTAATATTCCCTTTGGGGAAAAGGCTTTGGTGAGGGTGATGGTGGCTTAGCTCCAGATGTTTCCAGATGAAGTATATTAACTAGACCAATTTTATTCTCCTTTCAGGACTGAGTCCAGCAATGAAACAACTTTTACTGTTCTGATGAATGGCCTCCTTAGGGGAAAAATGGAAGTGCATCCTGGTTGATTTTGTTTTACTTCACTTTGAATGTGGATACAATTACTCATGGTATCTTGCTGACTGGCTTGGAGGGTTGAGTAGAAGTTTCACACAATACAAGAAAAATCTGATTAGGAAAGTGGTATGGGGGGATTCTGCTACTATCAATGGCGTTTAGGCTGTGGGGGCCCAGCTGAAATTAAAGGAACAGACATGAGGAGCCTTTTACTCATGAGGTGTCTTATGCCTCAGGTAGCCACTTCTTACAAGCATAAAGGTTCTGGCTTGCCCTTTCAGATGTCAAGACTCTTTTGGCTAGCGAGTATAACTGTGCCTTTTGTTTTCTCTTTGATGGGATGAACTGGCAGACAACTTCCCTGAGGAGTCAAGACGTTTCTGGATCCTGGACCCCTAGAGATCATTAGCTATTAACTTCTTCACCAAGGCAATGAAATGTAAAGTTACGACATGCATAACAACCAACCCCCACCAATAAATAATAATAATAATATGAATCAAATGAAAACTTACATCAGCTTCATCCACCTCAGTATTTAGCATACTACCTCCATTGGCTGTCAGAAGCACATCGGATTTATGATTAGACACCTTATTCTCTGCAGTTTGAATACTGTGAGCTGGAAAGGCAAATTCTTGTATCCTAGATTCAGATGATAAACAGAGCTGATAGGAATATGGCAGTGTCCCTTCTTCATAGTTTGGTGGAAATATGACAGTATTATTAGAATGGGGAATAGGACCAAAGCACTGCAGGAATTTAGGACTCCCTGATCTTCGAAGCTTCATCATAATGACTAGTATCACCGTCAAGAGGAATAAAAATGAAATCATAGCCAAGGCCAGCACCAAATAGAACTGGAGATCAGACTGGTACTCTGGATCATTGGATTGGCTACTGATTTCAGGTATTGCTTCTTGGAAACTTTCGGCAAACACCAAGTTCAGACTCACAGTACTAGACAAGGGTGGCTGACCATTATCCTTGACTAAGATCACCAGCCTCTGCTTCACAGCATCCCTTTCTGAATACAACCGTGATGTCCTGATCTCACCATTATGGGGCCCAATGGTGAAGAGCCCAGGCTCTGTGGCCTGGAGAAGATGATAAGACAACCAAGCGTTGTGTCCAGAGTCAGCATCCACCGCCACCACTTTGGTCACAAGATAGCCTTCCTCTGCTGAGCGAGGCACCATCTCAAACAAGCCCGAGCCTTCCACTCCTGGAGATGGGTAAAGAATCTGAGGGCTTTTGTCATTCTGGTCCAAGATAAACACTTTCACTCTGGCAGTGCTGCTGAGGGGTGGGGAGCCTCCATCTTGGGCCCTCACCTCCACCTGAAACTCCCTCAGTTGCTCATAGTCAAAGGAGCGCTGAGCATAGATGATGCCTGATTCAGAATTAATGGAGAGGTAAGAGGAGAGAGGAAGTTCCTCAATGCTGCTATGCAGAATGGAGTAAGTGATTTGAGCATTGCGGTTGAGATCCGGGTCTGAGGCTTTCATCCTGAAAATGGAGGAACCTGAGGGATTGTTCTCTGGCACATAGACAGTATACAGAGGCTTCTCAAAGGCAGGACTGTTGTCATTGATATCTGAGATCTGTAAAGAGATGGTCTTCTCGGTTGAGAGAGAGGGTGTTCCTTTGTCTGTTGCTATGATTGTGATACTGTACTCTGGAGTGCTTTCTCTGTCCAAGGAACCATCTGTGAGAAGCTTATAGAAGTTACTGGAAGTAGAAACTACTTTGAATGGGAAAGCACTTTTTAAATGGCAGGCAACCTGGCCATTCTCTCCAGAATCTTTGTCCTTTATGTTGATGATAGCTATCAAAGTATCTAGTGGAGAATCTTCAGGTATTGGACTGGACAAGGAGACAAGAGTCACTTCTGGGGCATTGTCATTCTCATCCAGCAGCTTTATCTCTACATTGCAGTGAGCCACCAATCCACCTCCATCTCTTGCTTCTATTGCCATCATATACTTCTCTGTTTCTTCAAAATCTAGAGCCTCTTTAACTGTAATTGTCCCATCTTGTGAATCCAAGGAAAATTTCTTGAAAATATGTTCAGGAATATTTCTAAAGCCATAGTAAATGTCAGCATTGGTACCTTCATCTCTGTCTATGGCTTTCACTTGGACCACAGAATATCCACTTGGAACATTCTCTCGCAGGTTCACTTTATATATTTCTTGGGCAAATATGGGTGAATTGTCATTGGCATCAATGACATTAATCCATATTTTGGATGTCCCACTTTTGGGAGGCTTCCCTCCATCTACAGCTGTCAGTTTTAAATGAAAACTGCTTTCACTTTCACGATCCAAGTGCTTGTTCAATAATAACTTTGCATGTTTCTTTCCATCTTCTCTTTCTCTAACTTCCAGAAGAAAGTAATGATTTGTGTCAAGGTGGTAATCCTGCAGAGAATTCACCCCAATGTCAGGATCTTCAGCTTGCTCAAGAAGAAATGTAGCTCCTGGCAAAGTTGATTCACTTATTTCTAAATTGATATCATCATCCACAAAATGTGGTGCATTATCATTAATGTCTTGGATCTCCACAATTATATGGAAAATATTCATAGGGTTTTCAACCATCACTTCAAAATTGATGAGACACAGTGTAGTTTCCCCACATATTTCTTCTCTATCAATCCTATCATTTACATAAAGGTTTCCATTTTCTGTACTGACAGTGAAATATTGCTTTTTGCCCAGAGAAAAGACATGCAGATTGCGATTTGCTATTTCTCTAGTATTCAGTCCTAGATCTTTGGCAAGGCTCCCTACAACAGAACCCTTCTCCATCTCCTCTGGAACTGAATACCGGATCTGCTCTGAGACAGTTTCACAGAAGAAAAACAATAAAAAGAAGAGAGTTACTTGCCTTCTTACTGATCTGTTGCAATGTTTGTGCCTTCTGTCCATCCTGTTCGCTGTAAAATGTGCTTTATTGATGGGTCTCTGTAACAGAATAAACTGAGGAGGCAAAAATGCACAGTGAGGTTGTAAAAAATGTCCTGACGTTTTCTACAATGCAGTGATTTTGGTGGCCTCATCAAAACTGCTTCAATGTCTCCTTGTTCTGCTGTCTCCCAGAGGTGCAGTAGAAATACATTGCAGGAAGCATTAGTCAATGGTTTCTTAGTGTCTTTGTGAAAACTGTGTTGGCCAACAGTGACACCCAGAGGCTCAGATGGAGAACTGGAAGTGATGTCTTTACTTTTCCGAGGAAATGAGAAAGAGTTCCTCTTATGTAATAAGCTTTTTTAACAATTGCTTTTCAAATATAAAATGTGTAACTTTTTCTGGGTTTTGAAAAAAAATAAGATTTTTTGTTTTGTCAATATCATCTCTAGTGCCTCCTCCTCTGTAGAGTATCAGTCCCATTATACAAGAGAAAGAAAAAAGAAAAAAATCAGCTTAACACACACAGAGAGAACAACAGCGTGAAGATTCAATATATGATATGTCTTTCTGGGCACACTGTAAAAGAAAATATTTCAGCAATATACTGTATAATGAAGCCAGTGTGTCTGTGCACACTTGTATATGGTATATAGAAATGTACAGTACATGTTTCTTTGCCTTAGCTACACTACCTGTAAGTTGTAATTTATACCATCTCTTTCCCTTTATATTAATATACACTACTCAAAATGAATGAATGAATGAATGAATGAATGAATGAATGAATGAATGAATGAATGAATGAATGAATGAATGAATGAATGAATTTTAAAAATACTGTGGTTCCCCGAAAATAAGACAGGGTCTTATATTAATTTTTGCTCCAAAAATGCATTAGGGCTTATTTTCAGGGGATGTTTAATTTTACAGTTATGCCATCTTCTGGTTGCTGCACAATGCTGCACAGTGGTGGAGGGCGGGGTTTCACTTAACTGGGGCTTATTTTGGGGGTAGGGGTTATATTACGAGCATCCTGAAAAATCATACTAGGGCTTATTTTCAGGTTAGGTCTTATTTTTGGGGAAACAGGGTAGTATAACCTATACTTCTATCTGATTTTTATGAGGAGCTTTTCACAAAGAGCTGAACTCGCACAAAAGATTTGAGGACCTCTTGATCTCTTTTCAGATAACAGTGGTGTCTTTTTTTTCCTCCTCTCCTTTTGAATTCCAGAAAAATACTTTTAGAATAACTACATGAGACTACTGTTTTAGAAAAAGAAGTGTCTATAAAATTATTTTGTCAATTTTGAACTTTTCAGAGTCATATAAGACATGACACAGTATATATCCTTCCATTCCCATAAAGTGGGGTGTTTTGGTAGTGAAACAGAAGGATATGATTGACATATATGTATATTTGCATGATATGCATAAGCAAAGATCTGTCACTGAAGCCAAACATAGAATGAATGGGACCATGCATTAAGTATACATAGTCCCCTTTTCTACTCTCGCAAACAAAAAGATTTGTGGCAGCAAGATTTGAAAATACTTCTACCCGAGATGCCACATAAGCACTTCACTTAACCAATGCAGCATATGGTTGCACAGACCAAAGATGATTACCATACTGGGCCAAGGCAGCTTCATATGTTATACATACATACCCAAGACACTGAATTCACACATATATACAGGTCCCACCAAACCATGGACATGGACATGCCTTGTTTTGATTTTTAAACATCTTTCTCCAAGTGAGCCTAAGGACATTCCAAACAACTCTGAGAAATTATCATGTAAGATGGCATTTCTTCTCTAACATATTGTAATTCAATTTTTACTTCAGTGGAGCCAAACTCCAAATGTTCTCTCTTTCTCCTTTTATTAGTTATTTGCAATGAACAGAGTGGTGTGTGAGTAAAGAAACTTTGGGGGAGGCCCTTCTTCAACAAGTTCTTTTGTTATTTACACAAAACAGACCCACCAAATTCACAGATAAAGTTTAGCTGATGAGTATGCTACAGTTTTTCTTGACCCACACCTGGAGCAGGAACTGGCAAGCCACTCCAGTATCTTTGCCAAGAAAACTCCATGGACAGAAACAAAAGGCTAAAAGATATGATGCTGGAAGATGAGCCCCTCAGGTCAGAAGGCATCCAACATGCTACTGAGGAGGAGCGGAGGACAAGCACATTTAGCTCCAGAGCTAATGAAGTGGACGGGGCCAAAGCTGAAAGGACACTCAGCTGCAGATGCACCTGGAAGTGGAAGGAAAGTCCAATACTGCCAAGAAAAATACTGCATAGGAACATGGAATGTTAGATCTATGAACCATAGGAAGCTGGATGTGGTCAAACATGAGATAGCAAGAATAAAAATTAAAAGAATATTTCGTGCAAAGATGGACATGATAAGGGACAAAAATGGTAGGGACCTAACAGAAGCAGAAGACATCAATAAAAGATGGTAATAATACACAGAGTAACTATACCAGAATGATCTGGATGTCCCGTACAACCCAGATAGTGTAGTTTCTGACCTTGAGCCAGACATCCTGAAGAGGGAAGACAAGTGGGCGATAGAAAGCACATCTAACAACAAGGCCAGTGGAGCTGATGGCATTCCAGTTGAACTATTCCAAATCTTAAAAAATGACACTGTTAAGTTGCTACACTCAATATGCCAACAAGTTTGGAAAATTCAGCAGTGCTCAGAGGATTGGAAATATCAGTCTACATCCCAATCCCAAAGAAGGACAGTGACAAAGAATGCTCCAACTACCGTACAATTGCACTCATTTCACACGCTAGCAAGGTTATGCTCAAAATCCTACAAGCCAGGCTTCAGCAGTATGTGGACTGAGAACTCCTAGAAGTACAAGCTGGATTTCGAAGGGGCAGAGGAACTAAAGACTAAATTGCTAACATGTGCTGGATTATGGAGAAAGCCAGAGAGTTCCAGAAAAACATCTACTTCTGCTTCATTGACTATGCAAAGGCCTTTGACTGTGTGAACCACAACAAACTATGGCAAGTTCTTAAAGAAATGGGAGTGCCTGACCACTTTATCTATCTCCTGAGAACTCTATATGTGGGACAGGAAGCAACAGTTAGAAGTAGATATAGAACAACTGATTGGTTCAAAATTGGGAAAGGAGTACGAGAAGGCTGTATATTGTTCCCCTGCTTATTTAACTTATATGCAGAATACATCATGCAAAAGGCTGAACTGGAGGAATCCCAAACCAGAATTAAGATTGCCGGAAGAAATATCAACAACCTCAGATATACAGATGATATAACTCTGATGGCAGAAAGTGAGGAGGAATTAAGGAACCTCTTAATGAGGGTGAAAGAGAAGAGCGCCAAAAATGGTCTGAAGCTCAACATCAAAAAAATAAAAATAAAAAAATAAAAAAGATCATGGCCACTGGTCCCCATCTATTCAAAAAGGTACTCAATGTATCCGTACTATAGGATGATTTTGTGCAGAATATATGAGATAAGGAAAAGAACAAGTTACCTCCTGTCTCTTATCTTTTACCGAATTTATGCCAAATAATTTAAACTTCACGTGTCAAAATAGCAGGACAAGAGTTAGAATAACCTGTTATAGTGAAATAACCTTTCACTACAAGATACTATTTACAATAGTTATTTTATTTTATCTTTAATATTTTTATAGTAAGGTATCCATCACTGTGAAATATCCCCAAGGAAACTAACCAAGTAATTTAGGAAAGTGGCTCACCAAGTAGGTTTGATGGACATGACGTCAATAATTTATATATGATCAGCAAAAGGTATGAGTAACTCTCAGAAACACTCACCTTGTCGTCACTGTTCATGTCAGAATTTGAATTGTTTTCATTGTTGCTTGTGAAAGTAACACCAGATTTGTCACAATTAAGAATACTGTCAGAAATCTGAACATGAGGAGTCAAAAAAGTAAACTCGTTCTTCCTGGATTCTGAGGAAAGGCAAAGCTGGTAGGAATAAGGCAAGGTCCCATCTTCAAAATTAGGTGGAAACATGGCACCACCCTTGGAGTGGGGAACGGGGCCAAAGCACTGCAGGAATTTGGGATGCCCTGAGCGCCGAATCTTCATCGTAATAGCCAGAATGACTGTCAAGAGGAATAAGAAGGAGATCAAGGCTAAGGCCAGCACCAGATAGAACTGGAGATCAGACTGAGACTCAGAGATGCTTGGCTGGTTCTTCATTTCAGGAAGGGCCTCCTGGAAGTTCTCAGCAAACACCAGGTTCAGAGTAACAGTGGCGGAGAGAGATGGCTGCCCATTGTCCTTCACCATCACAACCAGCCTCTGCTTCACAGCATCTCTCTCCAAAAAGGCCCTGGTTGTCCTGATCTCACCAGTATGAGAGCCGACAGAGAAGAGGCCTGGCTCAGTGGCTTGAACAAGATGGTACGAGAGCCAGGCGTTGTGTCCAGAATCGGCATCCACAGCCACCACCTTTGTCACTAGATAATCTCCCTCGGCTGAGCGAGGGACCATCTCAAATGAGGCTGAGCCCCTGCCTTCTTGGGAAGGGGACAGGATTTGAGGTCTGTTGTCATTGCGATCCAGAATAAAGACCCTGATGGTGGCATTGCTGCTGAGAGGGGGAGAACCCCCATCTTGGGCTTTCACTCGCAGCTGAAATTCCCTGAACTGCTCATAGTCAAAGGATCGCTGGGCATAGATTGCGCCAGTCTCTGAATTAATGGAGATGTATGAAGAGATGGGAAGCTCTTCAATGTTGCTGTGGAGGATGGAGTATGTGATCCGTGCATTCTGGCCCATGTCTGGATCTGTGGCTTTGATTGTGAAAATGGAGGCACCGGAGGGATTGTTTTCTGGCACATAAATGTTGTAGGTGGATTTCTCAAAAGCAGGGGCATTGTCATTGATATCGGAGATCTGGAGTGGAATTACTTTTTGTGTAGAAAGAGGTGGGGTCCCCTTATCAGTGGCTGTGATTGTAATATTATACTCAGGAGTCCTTTCTCTGTCCAGGAGGCTGTCTGTTAGAAGCTTGTAGTAATTATTAGACGACGGGAAAATTGTGAATGGCAAATCATTTTCAAGATAGCAAGTAACTTTTCCATTTTCACCACTGTCTTTGTCAATGACATTTATTAGAGCAATCATTGTTCCAGACAGAGCATCTTCAGGAACTGGGCTGAACAGAGATGCTAATGTTATTTCTGGGGCATTGTCATTCTCATCAATAATATTTATTTCAACTTTGCAGTGTGTCAGTGATCCCCCTCCATCTTTTGCTGCTACTGTCATGGTATATTTTTTGTTCTCCTCAAAATCCAAATCCCCAATAAGCATGATGATGCCACTCTTTGGATCCAGACTGAATTTCTTATTTGCATTTACTGGTACATTGCTAAAATGGTACCTGATTTGGGCATACAAACCTTCATCATTATCAAAAGCTGTAAGCTGGACTATAGTGGACCCTACTGGCACATTTTCTTGTAAACTCACTGTATAGATGTCTTGCGTAAAAATGGGCAGGTTGTCATTAGCATCAGTGACATTAATCCATATCTGGGCAGTTCCAGTTTTTCTGGGTTCACCCCCATCCAGGGCAGTAAGTATCACATGAATGGTGTGTTCACTTTCTCGATCAAGGGGTTTCTGCAGCACTAAATCTGCAAATTTATTTCCATCCTGACTCTCTTTAATATCCAAAGTGAAGTATGGATTGGTGCTAAGGTAATAATTCTGAACGGAATTCATCCCTACGTCAGGATCTTCAGCTTTCCCAAGGATAAATCGGGTTCCTGCTAGCGTTGATTCTATTATCTCCAAATTGATTACATTGTTGAGGAAATGTGGTGTGTTGTCATTAATATCCTCTATCACTATGTTTACATGGAAAACATTTAAAGGATTTTCAACCACCACCTCAAAATTAAGGAGGCAAAGGGGAATTGTGCCACATACTTCCTCCCTATCTATCCTATCATTCACCCAAAGATTTCCATTCTCTGGGTTGATACTGAAATACTGCAATTTAGCCACAGAGACAACATGCAGATTTCGCTTTGCCAGTTCCTTGACATTCAGCCCCAGATCTTTGGCGAGGTTCCCCACAATGGAACCCTTTGCCATCTCCTCGGGGATGGAATACCGGATTTGCTCTGAGGCAGCCCAGCAGGGGAAAGACAACAGAAAGAGAAGCCGTACTTGCCTTCTGAGTGCCTGGCCATTCTCTTCATGCCTTCTGCCCATCGGCTCTGTGAAAAACTAGCTCTTCTCTTTAAAAAGAAAACTTACATAAAATTATCTCCAAGACACAAGAAACATCTGTAACAAACAATCTGCCTTTCCCCCTAATTTTTATGGACGCTGTCAGTTTTTATTTCCCCTTTGCAGCAAGACTGCTATGCCTTTGTTCTTCTGTTCTGCTCTGCTCTGCTCTGCACAGCCCTGACAAAACTCCTCTTCAGGAAGCATTAGGGAATCTCCTCCCTTCGCTCTCCTTCTCTCTTTGGCGGCCATCCTGGCTTAAGAGTGACACCACGAGGATCTGGCAGGGAACTGCAAGTAATTCTTATTCATTTGAAAATTGTCTAGAGCACTTTTAAGGCTAATAGATTTATTAATGCATGTGATTTTGTGGCATTGCAGTGAAAGGTGCCATATGATTCCGTGGCACGAGGCTAGCACATCAATCCACTAGAAGTAGGAAAACAACTCGGATATGATCATACGATGGCTTCAGAATAAACACAATGTCAAGCAACTTTTTTTTTTTTTACAAATTGTAGATTTGTTTCCTCTTCCTTATGCTGTTCCATTACTGTTGTGTATCTTCCATGTTCATCTGTGTCAAGGCTTTTTGATACGTTACAGTATATATACTTGGGGTGAAGTTCTGCTGTGTTGAATTAAGCTTACATGATGAGGCTTGTATAAATATGCAAACGTCTTGTGGCTTCTTAATCAAATTCTCTAGTGTATTTATTACAGAATAATGGTGCTGTGGATAGACTGTCAGACTAGGATTAAGGAAACTTGTGTTCAAAACCCCACGTGGCCACGGAAACTCTCTGGGGGAGGGGTGACAATTGCAAATGATGACTTGAACATCTCACAGGCCTAGAAAACACTGTTAAGTTGCTGTAAATCAGAAGCAACTAGACATTACATGATAACAACAAATCTTTCATGAATCAGGACAAACACTGTAAAATTGCTACTGTTGTATAGGATAAAAATAGTACCCAAAGAGAATAGTGAGTATCATACAGCAGAAATCAAAATTACAGTTATCCAACTGGTTTTATTTCTTATTTCTCAGCCTGGTCATTTTCACCGATATGATTACAGTAGTGTTTTCCTCTTTTATTCAAAGTAACTTCACTCTGTTCCATTAAATCACAAAACATCAGAGAACTTTCTCCATGGTTGTGTGCGTGGCTGCCCTAGCACGGATTGTCTCTCTTTTAATTTAGTGATTGTCTCTCGCTAAATTAAAGGGTACTTCAGCAGACGTCCAGTGTGGAACTTTGCCTACATTTTATATGACACATATACCTAATATAAACAAGATAAACAGAAACATTTTACCTTCTAATACCTTTTTATCATAGGTTTATAGTTTTAAATAATAAATCGTGCCACCGAATCAGTTCTGAATTATGGTGGCCATTTTCCAGATTTTCCAGAAAGAGAATACTCAGAGGTGGTTTACCATTCCCTTTTCTGGATGGTCCCTGGGACATGTCCAAGGCTTATACATGCTGGCTCTATTTGCAGGAGGCACAGTAGGGAATCAAATTCCCAACCTCTGCAGTCAGAAACCGAATGCACTGAATTTTTAGGAAAGAAATTTTTTAAATAAGATTATATATATTCAATTAAAATAATATATATATTTTCAACTAATCCCAGACATGTTAACCATGGGAGATTCTGGAACAAAGTCCATACAAAAGGTGTCTGAGGAAACAACATGTTCTAAAAGCGTCATGGCACCACCTGGCATATTTAGAATACACCATGGTGCTGTGTACTTGGAAATGTTGCAGCTTTCAATTTGCTGCATCACAACAATTGTATTAGTGCAGGGAGCACATGAATCAGGTGACATTCTTTAGAAACAGGAACTTAGTAAAAAAATAAATAAAAACTTTGGTAAAGATAGGTTACACTGTCTTTGAAACAGTCAAGCATTTATTGGGTTCCCCCCATTCTATGATGCAAACATAAATTTATTTTTGAAAAAGGCAAATGTGGATGTAGATTACTCAGACATGAATTACAAGAAATCAGATTTACCAAAAGGAAGTTCTTGTGCAGGAAGACAAGTCCCTCTAGCTATTTTCATCAATTTCCTTTCCTTCGTTAACTAAAATAATATATCTGTATTCATTCATATTTATGTCCAAGGCTCTCCTTTGTACAATAATCCACCCCTTTAATGAAGGAGGAGAGAAAATATGCTCCCCACCCCAGATTAATTTTGTATCCAACTGCCATTAACTCCAGTTATAATAACCAGTGATCAAAGACAACACAAACTGTAGTCTAACAGCTGAAGGTCCACAGATTTAATACTCCTACTTTGATGTGGCTTTCTTCTATTTGATACGACATCCACGGTAGCCAAAATCCAGTAGTTAATTTGCAACTAGAGTAGTCCAACTGAAACAGTGGGGATTTGGTGAGTCAGCTTCTCCATTGAATGAAATGAGCTCACTCTAGTTGTGACTTGGTACTGAAATTCAGCCTATGAACCTGTCCTGTCCTTTTAAAAAGGATATTTTAAGTGAAAGGCTGTTAAGGATACTGTTTTACATTTACTTGTGTCGAACTTCATTCATGGGGATGGCAGTGCATTTGGCAGTGTCAGAAAACCCTTTTGAAGCCTTCCACAACCCATTTCAGTTCCTAAATATTTTGTTGTAATACATATACTTGGCCATTGCATTGTTCATCTTTAATTCTAGAATGTTTGTGCTGCTGCTAAACAGCAGTGACTCCAAAATAGCTCCTATGGAGGGTTCCACTGTGAGAACTCCTGATGCTGCTTCTACTTTCTGTTTCCCAATAATCAACCAGTTACAGGCTGATAAAACAACCTGTCCTCTCATCTCGTGACTGCTATGTCTAAGTCTGTTTGGTGATGGGCTTTATCAAATGTTTTGTCAAATGCATTTTGAACATTCAAGTATGCAATGTCTACTTGGGTATCTTGAACATTTCCCCAACTCCAGAAAGTTAATGAAATGGTCAATAATAACAGTGTTAAAAGTAGTTGAAGTCTTCACATTCCAAGTCATATTTTAACAGCACCCTAAATGTTAGAGAATTTTATACCATGGGTTGAATCATCAATCCAAATAGAGACTGCAGCCAAGAAATCAGAAGAAGACTGAATCTCAAAAGGGCAGCCATGAAGGAACTAGAAAAGATAATCAGGTATAGGAATTTATCACTGGAGACCACAACGAAGATAATCTACACTCTTGTATTTCCATTCACCATCTATGGGTGTGAAAGCTAGGCAGTTAAGAAAGCTGACAGGGAAAAAATTGGAATCTTCAAAATGTGGTGCTGGAGGAGAGCTTTGCAGATACCCTGGACTGACAGAAAGATGAATAAAAATGGCTCTTATAACAAATCAATCCTGAACAATTTTTGGGAGGCAAAAATGTCCTGCTTTGGACACATCATGAGAAGAGTGGATTCTTTGAAAAAGACAAGGATGCTGGGAAAGATGGAAGGCATCAGGGAAAGAGGAAGATGACATACAGGATGGATGGACTCCCTAAAGAAAACACAGGCTTGAGGCTACAAGAGTTGACAAGGCCAGCTGAGGACAGCTGAGGACATTTTGCAGTTCATCCATTCATATGATTGCTATAAGTTGGAGGCTACTTGATGGCACAAGAACAATCACATTTATTTTCCTTCAGAGTCTTACAAATATTAATAAAAAGCCAAAGTAGATTAGATGTGTTGCCCAAACCCAATCAGCCAAGGAAGATCTATCTTTCATGGACCAGTTCCCTCCAATAGCTGCCTGGTTCCTTAGTTTCCCCTATATTACATACATTTTTAACATAATTCTTGTGAGAACCCTGCAAAAGAGGTCAGTCTTATTGGCTTCATATTGTAGGCACGGGCTGTGATGGAGTGTTTTGTATTTTCTTGCTGTCCCTAACACAACCAAGGGATTTATGACAAGAGGCAACATTCTAAGTAAGCAGGCCTTTGGCAATTTGTGTCTCTGATACATATGATTTATTTATTTTCATTCATTTACTGGTATTGAGTCCTATGCATTTGAATTGTTCTGAGATACATAGTTCAAGAACTGAAGCACTAACTGTTATGGTAAAAGTGAAATAGATTGCTAAACAATACCTACTTCAAACAGGTTAATAATATTTAACCCCTAACATCAATTTACACTTTCCTAATCTTAAAATACACAAACATACTTAACAGAAGCAAATTACTCTATCTGTCTTTATAGCACCACCTGAAAAATATTCACATATGAGCAGCTAGCAACTGTTAGCATCTCTAAATAAAAACTGCCATATTTTATCTCACCAGTAAGTATTAATTCTCCATCAAGAAACTGCTGATTTCAACCTGCATTTTTCATTGTTGTGTATGTCAACAAGTTGTACCTACTGTTATGCAAATAATGTTCATGGACATCCATCTTGTTAATTAACCTAAAACTGCACAATAAAAGCTAACAGTTCTCTTCTAGCTTTGGGAAGTACTTATGGAGTAATTAATTAATTGTTATTGAACATGAATCTTACCTTTTCACCATTCTCTGGCTCTGGATTTAAGTTGTTTCCCTCATTGCTTGTGAAAGGCATATTATTAAAAATATTATCTGTAATCTGAAAATTAGGTGTCAGGAAGGTAAGCTCATTCTTCCTAGACTCTGAAGACAGACAAAGCTGGTAGGAATAAGGCAAAGTCCCATCCTCAAAATTGGGTGGAAATATAGCACCAGTATTTGAATGGGGAACAGGGCCAAAGCATTGCAGGAATTTGGGATGCCCCGAGCGCCGGAGCTTCATCGTAATGGCCAGAATGACCGTCAAGAGGAATAAGAAGGAGATCAAGGCTAAGGCCAGTACCAAACTGAACTGGAGATCATACTGAGGCTCTGAGCTGATGAACTGGTCATTCATTTCTGGAAGGGCCTCCTGAAAGTTCTCAGCAAACACCAGGTTCAGACTAACGGTTGCAGAGAGAGGTGGCTGACCATTGTCCTTCACTAGAATTATCAATCTTTGCTTTATGGCATCTCTTTCCAAAAATGTCCGTAATGTCCTGATCTCACCATTATGGAGCCCAATTTTGAAGAGTCCGGGCTCTGTGGCCTGGACAAGATGGTAAGATAACCAAGCATTATGTCCGGAATCAGCATCCACTGCGACTACTTTGGTCACCAGGTAGCCCTCCTCTGCTGAGCGAGGCACCATCTCAAAAGAATGTGAGCTTTCTACTCCTTCTGTTGGGTAAAGGATCTGGGGGCTGTTATCATTCCGATCCAGAATAAGCACTCTCAGTGTTGTATTACTCATGAGTGGTGGTGAGCCGCCATCTTGGGCCTTCACTTGCACCAAAAACTCCCTAAATTGTTCATAGTCAAAAGAGCGTTGAGCGTAGATGGTGCCAGTTTCAGAATTAATGGAAAAGTAAGTTGATGCCTCAATGGTAATGTGGAGGATGGAATAAATGATCCGAGCGTTGTGGCCCA